AGGTGGTACTTTGCTCACCAGAAAAGATGGTCATTCAGTTCCTGGAAGCAAAGGGTACGTTATGGGCTGGGACGTTCCAGACAGATGTTGAAGGTTGGATTTATGAGGACGACAACAACAACCTTTCTTGCTGCCCCCTTTCATGCTTTTCTTCAACTTCACTCCTTTGATGATTCTGTTTTCAGATTGGTTTCTCTGCAGTCAGCATACTGCCCATCTTTATCCCATCAGCATACTCCTTTGTCTAACAGATCCATCACAAACGCAGATCTTCATTTGGCCTTTTTTTGGTGCCTTAATTTGGTCATTGTCTATTGGTCTCCCTTATCACCTTTCATTAATATATCCAATCCTTTCATCCCTCTGATTCAGCTGGTTAGTGCCAAGTTCAGTTAATTGGAGCTGGTAACAAGGCCTTTACTACGTTATGTTAAAAGAACTCACAGTGATAAAAAAGAAAAGATATAATGAGCACTATGAGCTCTACAAAAACAACTCAAGGCCAGCTAATAAACAAAATTAAAAGTTAATAAGGCTATACAAAACTTAAGCAATAATTAAATAAGGCTGAATATATATATAAAAGTTTAAACTATGCTATAATTTACCACTCTATAAGCAGGTTAAACTTTAAAGCATAAAATATGACAAACTACCCTAACAGTGTGGGTTGGGTTTTTTTGACACTGGGAGATCCTGGTGTCAAAAAAAACCCGCAGAGGAAAAAGGAGGGATGGCGCATGTGGCGGCAATGTGCTCCACCTGAAACTGGAGCCTGGCTGGCTGGAGCCACACTACAACTGCTGGCCAGGCTCCCTGCTGCTGGGTCTCCACTGCTAGAGCCCTGGGAGGCCCCCAGGACTCCAGGTAAGGCTGCTAGGGCCAGCCCAGGTGCTGGACCCAGTCTCCCCTACCCCACCCGGTGGCAACTTGTTTGCCAGAGCGCATGTGCACGGGTGTGCCGTGGGCACAAGTAGCAGAGGCACATATTGTAGTGCTGTTATTTGTCCCCAGGGAAACACACGTGCAGGATTGTTTTGATGCACCTGTTAAATGGTAAGTGGACTTAATGCTATTCCATAGTTTCATAGTTTCATAGTTGGTAGGGTCAGAAGGGACCTGAGCAGATCATCAAGTCCAACCACCTTGTTCATGTCCCTGAGGAGGATCTTACTCCTCGCTGGTTTTTTTTGTGACTCAGTCTTAAGTGCCACATGACAGTGGGTTACAGAAGTAGATGTATTAAAGGATTTTCATGGACCTGCACAGGGTGGAATAGAATCATACTTACATGCCTAATACATAGAATAGGATTATGCTGAAACTGTCCAACACGGTAGTTAACCTCACTAAAATAAAGAAAAAATTATCAGACTTTCTCTAACAAATTGTTGAGAGATGATTCCAAGAGGTAGTCATTAGATCTTGATCCAGATTGGGGTTCAAGATCAGGCTAAATCAGAGTTTTTGTCCAATGCAAGATTCAAAGGTGTTGAAGTCTTGACAGTTGTAAATGTTTGGGTCTGAATGGAAGACATTCCACTCATGATGTTCCATGTACCTTCTTTCATGTCACCCTCCATGCACCTTTTTATCATAGCAGACCTATGGGTTCCCCATGTCTTTTGTAGTAAGAAATCAATTTATAATAAGGATACTTTAAACAAAACAATAGCTAGTTCCTGGTCTGGGTCTCCTAGAGTATTCTGTCTTCTGAGGATTTAATTTTAAATTGCAAGCTCTTTGGGGATAGAAGCAGATTTTGCATGTCACAAGGCACATTATAATTATAATAAAATAATAAAAATATAGGGCCAACGTGCTGCAAAGAAACTGTAATAGACATATATTTTGAATACAAATCAAAACCACAACTATAGAGATCCAAAGATGGGTTTGGTTTGAGATTTCAGATTAAACTGTTTTGAAATTCCTTCTCTTATGTATCTGACAGCCTCTCCTTTATTTTTTATGGAAACAAAAGTTACTATTGCTATCCATTCTGTTTTTCTGCTAGGAGTCTCTATACTGGACCTTCAGCTTTTGCAAAATAGACTTTAGATACTTGTGATCCATAGACCTTTTAAAGTTTAGACTGTGTTGAGAAGATGCTATCAAAATATGTTTAAGGGTAGTAATCCAAGAACAGGGATTTCTACCTGCTCTACAAATCAATCCTAATGAATTGGAGACAATAGGTTTTTGTGAAATGAGAAAGGTTAAAGGGAATGTTCAAATGTATGGAATTCTCAGGATTTAATGTGAACTCATGCATATCATTAAAAGTTGCATTAATTAAAATGGCATTTCACTTTGTGCTGTGTTGAAAGGACCTAGATAGGTTAAACATTTCTGCCCATCAATTTATAGCTTTAAAGACCAGTTTAAGATGTTGATTTTTATTCTTAATCAGTTCCTTTCCCTTTCAAAATCTTTAAGAGAATGCTTTCATCATTTCAAGAGAATTGTCTTATTTTCATGGTAGAACACAGAAAATGCAGAATATAGCATAAGAAATGATGGCTTCCAAAGGTGGGGTGATAGGAGGACCAGATTTGGAAGGATCTCTTGGGCCATGCAGTCCAAACCACAGTTATCATGGGCAACCACACCATCTAATCCAGAGGTGCTGAGTACGTGGGGGTCTGAGGCCCCTGGCCCTCTTGTGGAGAGGGCTGTCACCTGAAATGTGTAAAACTTTCCACATATCCATCATCTTAGCTCCCCCTCCCCGCACAACAAAAATAAAAGTAGGTACTATGATATAATCTCTTTCATAAATTGATTAAGCTCCATCAATAACAAGTTAAGCTCCATTCAATAACAAGTTAAGCAGACACTTGAGTGGGATGGTTTAGTTAGGGATGATCCTGCCTTGAGCCTGTGATGATCTGATGAAATCCCTTTCAGCCCTGCTTTTCTACAACTCTTGATTCTGTGATCGCAGTGGCAGGAAATTCTGGATTGGGAGGAGAATTGTATGGAAAGCAGAAGCAGATGCTGGACTACTTGAATCCTTGGTGACCTTTGAATAGGACCATCAAATAACATGGTACAGTTTTTAGAACAATATCTAAATAGGGATCAACATGGCCATAAAGTTTGGCAGGACAATAATACTGTATTTATTCACATACCACATCCACCTGTTCTCTAAAATTAGCCATCCAAACTTGGGGTGCATGTCTTAAGCAAGGAAACTGATTCCTACACTAGAATGGAGGCAAGGGATGCTGTAATGGAGGCAGGGTCTACACCAGGGGTAGGCAACGTTTTTTGACCAGAGTGCCAAAAAATCCACAGTGTCTACCTTGGAGGTGCCAGAGTGCTGACATGCCAGAGCCCGGAGCAACTCTTTGCAGCCTCCCGAGCAGCCTGGGCTCTGTGGCTGGCAGCAGCTGCTTAGAGCCTGGCCTGGTGGTGTGCTGAGCAAAATGGCCTTGCGTGCCATGCTCGGCACGTGTGTCAGGGGTTGCCAACCCCTGGTTTACACTATGCACCATCTGAGTCAGGAATAAACCCTCTGGCCACATGGAGCAGGGACAGAGTCCTGTCATCAGTGACAGTCCCCTAGGATTTTGCAAGAACTTGCTGAGATGCACAGTCAGGTTAAAAGTAGTGAATCATGCTGTTAACTCTTAGACAGCATTATCCCCACTGTATTAATACATTTCTGGGAAGTGGGAATGTGTGTGTTAGAAAGCCAAATAAAATATGATAGTCTTTCCCCATGATGTGTGGATGAGAGAAAGCCAAACCTTTCTGGATATTGTCTTCTAATAAGAACATTTCATCCAAACCTTCCAAGAAGCAGAGTGACACACAGATAGCAGAACCAGTGTGAAATTGCTGTGCAGGAGGGCAGGCCTGTGCAATAAATCCTCATTTCATTCTGAGCCAGAGAATTGTGTCCAATAAGAATTACTCTCAGAGTGAAGGAGGTGTTTTGTGGGGAAGAAAGACTGAGGGAAGCTGTGGTCATTGAATTGATGGTTCTGAGGGATCATTGCAGGTTTCAGGGAGGTGGAATTTGCAGTGATTTAGAGGGAGGAAGACAAGTGCCTGGACAAATATTTTAATGTTATGGATAGCTAGAATAGGCTGGTTCTTGGAAATATTAGGGAGGAGGAACAGTTAGATTACAGCTGTGTCTGAGAGAGAGAGAGAGGGGCCAGTGATAGGTAAGATTTGCCTAAAAAAGAATTGTGTAGGATTAAACCTGTGAAGCTTTCTGTGACAAACACTTTCCTTTGAAAGGCAAAACCAATGGGAGCTTGCCTTGTACTGTGAAAGCCACGTTGGCCACCATTCTTCCTGTGACACTGTCAGGACAAATCAGGAAATAGTATTTTCCTGTGGGTTTTCTGTGTTGGCTGTAATATCAGAATGAGTGTGAAGCAACTTCACATACACGTCAGAGCTGAGGAACTGAATGATCTAAGAAATAATAGGAAAAAGTAGAATGAAGCAATGAGCAATGGAGAGTTCTCCCACTGTCTGTACAGAAGATCTGACTGTGTTTCAGCAGTTGCAGCCTGCATTCTTAGGGGCTGAGGGGGTGCCAAAGTGCATCAGGACCCCAGGAGGAATTCTGACACTGTAGCAGCAGTCTGAGACTGCAGAGCGCCATGGTTCTGCAGAGCTCCTTTTATGACTCTAGATACTAAATCATCCTTCTCACTCTTTGTGGGATCCAGTTGTACCTATGGGGTGGCTGTACCTATTTATGGAGCTGGCTGCATTCCAGTTCTTCCATGCTGAGCATTCCACAGCATAATCTAAAGGCTTTACACAAAGTAAAGAAGACAGGCAAGGGCCAAATCAGTTGCTGATGTGCAGCCAGATTTTCTTTCTGTCTACACCAAAGGAAAAGATAATAAAATATTTTGCTGAGCAGATACATTTTTCAGAATATCTGTTTTGATGCTTCCCATTAATAGCACACAGGAGTGAAAGAACTAAAACCAGCCTCAGCTCTTTGTGTTTTGTTCTGCAGAATGGTCACAACCAAGACCTCTAATCAGGAGGCAAGAGGAACTAACTTTGTCCTCAGTTATCATTCTTATCAGGAAGAGCCCTTCTGGGGAAGCTAGAATAAAGACTGTAATTAAACTCCACCTGTTTTCAAGATGCTGCTGAGAAGATGATGGCTTTCAGTCGTCTAGGATCCACGAAAGGCTGCTCATATCTGCAAAATTACAACTACAGCGGAGACTGCTGTTATTAATTCATAACCACCAAAGTGGTCATCATCATCATCACCACTGAAGTAATATTCACTGATAACACTAAATGAGGATCCTCTAGATATTATTGGGGACCCTCTTTAAGACTTGAGTTGGTAAGAGAAGCCTGACTTAGCTACTTTACTGCAAATTTCATAAAGTTTTATTTTGAGAATTGTCATTTTAAAAAGAAAGTTAATGAATTGCCATTTGCGTTAATATGGTTATGTTTTTTATTTTGGTTTGAAGGGGATCCTAGAAGCAAGGGATAATAAATATACTTTCATATTAAAAGGGTTACACTCCCTTGAAAGAAAACAGGGGACCTTATTTTTACGCTGCATAATAATAAACTGGGATTTTTACAAAGAATTCGCATGACAGACTTTCAGACGCACTGATCAGTTTCAACTCAAGAGAATTTTTGCAACACAAAGGTGATGCTTATGCATCTACACTCCTAGACAGATTGTCTGCACAAACTGAACCAGGGACCTCTGAATTTTAATGAGTAAGTCTCTACTGTTTGAACTACTCCCCTCTTTCCTTCTTTCCTTCCCTCATGTCTTTCTCTATTTTTGTCGACAGGTTTCTTTTTCCAGGGCACCAAGCTACATACATCTTCTTCCAATTTCTTCTTAGAAGACATTTTTCCAACCAAAGGCTTATCTTACATTAGATGCCTCCTGCTGGAAGGCATTACAGAAGCTGCTGTGTGTGAACACACCTGTATGGCTTCTGGTGGCTCCACTCTACTGTTTGCTGGCTGCCACAAGCACAGGCCTCCTGACAGCTGCCAGATGGTGGCAGAAGTTATATGATGTTACTCTTTTGGGAGAAAGAAAAGGTTCTTCTGCCACAGGGGAGCTGTGAATTTAGATACACTCACTGCTGGCAAATCTACAAAGTAGCAGAGTCTTTTATTTCTGCTCTTTCCTCCAGAACTATCAACCCTAACTCACTTTCCCTGTTTCTGACAACAGCAAAATAACAAGCCACAATACAACAGACTTTATCACCTTTATGTGTTATACCATTCTCCCTCTGTTTCCTCTTTCATCTGCTTACTGTTATCTGTTGAATGTGTTTGTCTAATTTAGATGGTAATTCCTCAGAGCAAGCACTGTTTCTTTACATTTCTTCATGATATTCTCTGGTACATATAATCAGTAAAGTTATCATCTAAAGAATAGGTTATTAATTTACTGCAGTAACTAGATCCACAGGATTAACCAGTAAGTTTGCAAAAAAGTATTTTTGAAGGTTGAAGGGAGGAGTTAATACCGTTTCAAATAGTCCCTGAACTAGTTAATAAAAATAAGTGAGGCTGTGAGAAAGCTGAACATGTAAAATGAAGCTGTTCCTGAGATATGAATAGAGAAAAGGAAACTTTTTACAAGTCAGAAGCTTGTTACACTTTCAGTGCTCTATTGCTCCCAAATAGCCTGACTGATAATGAGTTTGCTTCTGAGTAACTGAATTTCTCTTTTTAACTTAGTTTAAGCACAATCATTTTTATGCTATAAAAGGATAAATGTAGAGGGGTCTTGTGTTTAGAGTGCTGAGTTGGGACTTAAGAATCTTTGGTTAAGTTTCTTTTTTGCCACAGGCTCCTTGTGTGACCTTTAGTGATTCACTGAGCACAGGGTTTTCAAAAAACTTAAGAGCACCAGCTCCATGTGTTCCTAAATTTTTAGGTGCTTTTAAAAATCCTTTATGCCTAAATTCTCATCTGTAAAATGGAGCTAATAGCACTAACCTGGACTATGGGGGTGATGCAAGGATAAATGCATCAATATCTGTGTGGTTCCAAAGAGTACAGTGATGCATTCCATAGCTGTATGGATAGCTACACTAGGAAGGTCACAAATAAGCTTTCTGTATGATGGAAAGCTGGTTGTAACCTTAGCTATAGGACCATAACAATGAACTTAGAGTATGCAATACGAAGACTGGTATTCTTTAAAGTCTTAAACAAAGAACACAATATGTGATTATATGTGAAACTATCTGCATTCTTTGTACACAATAGAACATCTTACATTGTGGAAAATAAAGATTATGAAACAAAACATTTTCTTACCATATTAATACTATGTTGTTTATAATAACTTTAGGTTAAGGTTACTTTAATATATTACCTGTAGTTCTGACTAATGGTTGTTACTTAAAATATTTCAAAACAGCTTTAAAACATTAAGCTTATGGGTGCTGAATTTGTATCCTTATTATATTAGGATAGTGTGCATGGAGATTTACACAGCAAGCTCAGCTGAGGTGATGATTCCCTGGAATTCCTTTTCTGTCTCGGAAGGGAAAAAAGAATGATGGGTTAGCTAGTGCTCCCGTGCAGCTCTGTAAGGGGACACAAGACAAGAAGTCCCAGCACTGGGTTCATCTACGCACAATTTAACTTCAACTGTAGAACAGGGCAACCTGTTTCTATCACCATTTGAGCAAACCTATCGGAACAAGCTTTTACTACAGTTCTTAGAAGTGGTACTGGATGTGGTTTGCCATGGGCTATATTTGCAGTTAAACAGTATGTCTCTCTGTCTCTCCCTGAATCAACACTGAACCCATTACTGACACCTACTGTCAAGCAGCGGGAGGAATTTTTCTCATGTCTTGGTGGATAGGAACAGGAAATATATGCTAGTAAAATAATACATGTCTTGTGTTCCCACTGTGACAGCCTTCCAGAGTACTTGTGGAGAGACTTTCTGGGTGTGGTAGTTTACTTAGATTTTGCTGTTTCATTTTTTTAAATTGCCTGAGCCGTCAGAACAGCTGTGGGAAAACAGACCTAGAGGTGGCTCTTCCCCAGAGTTTTAAGAAAGTCAAAGTCACATAACACTGGTCAAACTACTGTTGCCGAGAGATTCTTATAAGAGAAAAGAAATGAATAAAGAACAAGTTACAAAAATTACACAGGAGGAAAGAAGACTATCCATTACACTAGGGATTTTTTTTGTCTCCTTAGATTATGAAGTCATGTTGGAATTAAGAGGGAAATTTGCCTGGTTTAGAAATGAAGATGTTGATTCAATAAACAAAACTACAACAGCACTAGCATGCCAGGGCTTGGTGGGACAACTGTGTGACAGCTACCAAGAAAACAGTTTTAAGCCAAACATAAGGTAAGGCTGGGTAATAGAAGCCAGAAAGAATGGCAAACACAGGAAGTGAAGATAAATGAACCTTCAAAGAATTGATTGTTTTTCTGGGCTTGGCTGTCAAGATACACCACATCTGAATTCACCAAATTGAGTAAGTCCAAGGACCCGAGGAGCCCATTAGACACTGATGGCAATGATTCAGCAATTCAGCAAATCAACACAGGCATGTGAGTAGTCTCATTGATTTACATGGAATGATTTACGTGCTGAAAATCAATCATCTGCTTAAGTGCTCACCTGGACTGGAGTGAAAGAGTTTAATTCTCCAAAGTTACTTATGCATGTGCAATGTGTGTGTGTGCATCTGTATTAATGTTTGTTTGTTTAAGTTATTTCCTTTTCTGTATTAATGTTTGTTTGTTTAAGTTATCTCCTTTCAGATGGAAAGTACTGAAGTATTCCAAACGGTTAGGAAAAAATGATAAATTAGTCTCACACAGTGACTCTATTAGCTGATCTGTATGCATCTGGGGTCTTAAAATGGAAGTCTTCAGTGCTTAGATAGGGAAGTCTCTTTCAAAGTTATAGTCATCAAGATAAGCTGTTGTAGAGGAAGAAAACCAGAAAGAACAGTTCTTGGTTACTTCTCAGTGATAGATGGTTGGAAAAATACTACCTGTAGAATGCTGTGAATTCCCAGCAGTTGTTGCGGTGCTGTACTTTGGACATATCCAGTTTCACAGTGTCTTTTTCAATGGGAATCCAGTATAATCATGATTCATGTTAATCTCTTAGCATATGAAAGGGGCGGGTCACTTTGTTTACTCTTTCCAACTCCTTTTCTTGTCATTACTGCTGCAGAAGCACCAACCAAGTGCAGCTGGCATGCTTCCATGATGTCTCTTATATAACCTGGGGCACTAATGTAGAAATAAGTTAAACATTCCTAAGTCAGGCTCATATTGCTTGTCTTAGTGTCAACAGTGCTCACTTGTCCCGTGGTGTGTGGGGCTGATCTTGGAGGGGGTATCTGTGGTCCCTATACATTGTATTTTGGAAGATACCTGGCATGGCTTCAGGAGGGACAGGGGATGAACTTGTCTTCTTTGTGAATGGTAAAAAGGTAAGGGATGATTTCAGCATTTTGCCCCTGGATTGTGGGTGGATTAATCACTAATTTTATCATGCTGTCTTCCTCTGAAGTTTTCTTACCACAGACTAGCAGTGACAATAGAAGCAGTCACAACAACACTCTTTTCAATTAGGGTTGTGAGGGATATTTATTGTTTTGCTTTGCAACTTTGTAGCTTATTTATATATTTATTTATGCTTTACGACTTTATTATAACATTTTAAAAGGGGTGCATTAATCAAATAATAATATGAATTACATGAAAGACAGACTAAATTATTTTAAGTTTTTTGTTTTTCAAAGTTTTTTTCATGATTGTAATAACAATTCAGTACATTTCTGTGGTAATTGTTAGTTCGTTACTTTATAGTAAGCCATAAATATAGCCACTTATTTACTACAAATACATGTCATTGCTTGAAACAGTTTGAATACCTACACAAATCTGTAAGTATTCAGTAGATGATTATGACTGTGCCTTATGGTTTTCAATACCCAGCTGAATTTGAATCAAACTTTCACCCCATTTCCATGTATGGAGCTGAATTCTCTTTAGAGATAAATTGAGTAACTGGTATTATACAAATAAAAATGAAATCAGATCAAATACCAATTATCACCCAAGAAGTGGCTGCATTTCAAAGGTAAATGGAGTGATTTTTGTGTCCAAGTAGAATTCATTTTCTCACAGTATCCCCTTGGTTGATGCAACAAGGACTGCACTTTCCATCTTCTAATGCCCTGAAACAAATCAGGGCTGGCACTCTGTTGCACTATAGCATTTAGCTGTATCCAACTTTAATATGAGCCAAATTATGCCCCCTCCTTTTTAGCCATTGAGATGGATGCAGTGCTGTTGCATAGGCAGTATCATATTAAGAAAGAGAGGTGCAAATTTAGTGTGCCATGGTGGAGCACAGACCCAGGGAGACTGGAGGTTCCCTGTACCCTGCCTGGGAAGGGAAAGGGCAAACCAGGGAAAGACTAGATCTAATCTTGCCTGGAGAATCAGCAGCTGGATTCAGTGGCCATTCTCCCCCTCGCCCCTCTGGATATACTGTATCCTTATTTGGCTCAGAATTGAATTGACTGCTCTTCTGCAGCCTGTGACAGTGTTCACTGTGTTCCCAGAACTCTGCAGTGCACAACCCAATTAATCGGCTGTCCCTGTCCCAACCAGAGATGGAAAGTAACTTGTGGTTCAGGCTTTCAATTTAGACTTGAATTCAAACCTTCCCAGAGTTTGCAGATATTTGAGGTCAGAGCTCTGGTTTGAACTTGTTGAACAGTGAGCTGAATCTTAAAGTTTAGACTTCTGTCTGATTACCAGCCTATGAGGAGGGCAGGGGTTTTAGGCACATGGAAAACCTAGGGATGTTACACAGCCAGCCCCTGAGCTTGTAGTCTATTCTGAATGTGCCCTGGGGTTGCTGTACGTGTTGTGGCTGGCAGTCCCTCCCCTCAGACCTGTACATTGGCAGTTTGTATAGGATTATATTCTTTTATACTCAGGCTCTGCTCACATTAGGCCATAGTGTAGTCAGTCCTGTGTGGGTGGGCACAGGGCAAAGATGCAAAAGAGCCCTTCAGTCATCTTGTGCATCTCTGAAAGGATAGTCATGGTACTGGTATTTGCAGCCTTTGCATTTCCCAGCTGCCACCACGGGAGACTGCTTATGCTACCAACAGAGCCACCTGCTTGCAAAGATTGCTTCATCCCCTTCCATGCTGGTTTGTGGAACTAGGCCAACCTTGTTAAGGGAACAGGCTGTGCTTACAAAAAGGAGGAGAATGAGTGTACTCTGACAAATGTCCCTGGCATTATGGTGCCTACCTACTTTTGGATGTGATGTTGTTGTGGTTTGTGTTGCACTCCCACAAAATGCAGGTTCCCAGTGTAAAAGCCAGAATAAAGGATTGGGCCAATTCTATTTAAAAAAATTCTTATGAATGGGCCCAATTATAAGGTTCCCTGGGATCCTCCTGCATGGAAGATGTAATTTAAAAGTCGTTATGGTCCACTCATCCTAAAACACTCCTGGGAGCTTGGATAAAGGAGTTCCAGTGTTTTACCGAAAGGAACATGATACCTTGTCCTGTAGTTAATGGGAAAGGTTACTCTGTAGCTATTCATGACAGCTTAACATTGTGAATCAGCAATCAGTGTTCTATTACATGGCTAAGGTGCATGATAAGAGGGGCATGATAAGATATGAACTTTCATAGCAGTAGCTTTTATTTTTTTGCATTTGCACAATATTTAATGTTATTATGAAAAGGTACTTCGTAACAGCTGCACATACTTCACATTCAGGGTTGTTTATTTAAAGCACCTGTTTAGTGCTGGCAAGGCTAGCGCTATATGCACATGAAGTTATTTTCATGGTCTTGATGAGTCTGTGCTAGGCAGCAGTACGCTTGGCGCCTGCTATTTGATGTAAATTATTTTATCCTCCATATATTAGGCATAAAGTACACATGCCTCATTAAGGGCTGTCCAAAATGGGCGTTGCGATGCTTTACAGCCTAGAATTCCAACAGCTATAATGGCCGTAGCAGAAGTGTCACAGCCAGCAACAATCTCAGACAGGACATGAGAAGAAAAAGGTATAAAGTATGTACTCACACAGAGACAGTACTTCCATCTCTATCACAGGCATAGAGGTAGCATCAAATTAGAACATATATAAGAATTTTCTTAAATTTGGCTGTAGATGTGCTTGAACCAGAACCTAGAGTCTAATACTCTTGAACTCTGGGGAAGTCTGGATCGAGAGCTGAAAATCATAGCTCTGAGCCATTTGTGAACAGAATAATAAATCATCAGAGTCCATTAGAACAGCATAGAAGATCTTTCCTATATCATATGGCTGGCTGATACTGTGTGGCTATTTTAAGTTTGCTCACTCGGTTTTGCTGAGGTTGGTCAAAAGGAAAACTATGATCTGTTATTCTGATCTCCCAAAAATGAAACAACCTACAGTTTCACCCAGTCATTCCTACCATTAGTGCAATGACTGATGATTGAACTGGACCACAGTTTTCAAGAAGACATGCAAGCTTGTTTTAAAGATTGTAAGTGATGGAGAATTTATTACCTCCAGGGTAAGCTGTTCAAAGCACTTTTTTTTTTTTTTTTAAAGGCCCATTTTTCATAGTTTTCATAGACATTAGGGCTGGAAGGGACCTCGGAAGATCATCGAGTCCAGCCCCCTGCCCAAAGGGCAGGAAGTCAGCTGGGGTCATAGGATCCCAGCAAGAT